CAACTAATTTACCAAACACTTTTCTACAATCAGCTAATGCTATCAACTAATCAAACCCACTAACCCGATCAATTAACAACTATTTCCAAACACGTAATCCCTTATTATTTTTAAATATTTCTTCTCAGAAGGTATCAACTTAATTTTACATATAAAATACCAAAACTGACAATATTATAAAAAATAAAGATAACAAAATTTTAAAATACCTTAAAATTTTAATAGAGTTTAATGATTTTTGCAATAAATAAAAAATAGTATTTTTCTTTTGTCCCCGACCTGCACCCCCTTTCTTTTTTTATTCACTGACTGACCCCCAAGCTTTATATATGCATATGCTTTGTCACACTTTGGCCCCAAAACTTTATCTCTTTCTTCATTTTATACCATCCCTTCAGCCGTACGTTGAGCCCCCACCCCATAGCTTTGATCCTTAGACTAGTTGGCACCCCTAACTCTATTCTATTTTTACACAGGCCCCCATTAGGCTCCAACCATCCTCTAGACTTAATTTATCCTTGAGTCTCTACTACCCAATTCTAATTCACATTGAACCCAAAACCCCTTCACCCATAATAATATACTCTCTCTGTTGCATTTTTTTGTCTGGTTCGATTAATGATGCTTGACCAAAATTATTTTTAATTTAATTTTCATAATGTTAAGTTTAATATTAGTATATAAAATTTAGATATTTAGAAATTATGTTAAAAGTATTACTCTCTCTATCCTATTGATTAATCATTGGTCAAACCAACTCTTTCTTATTTGCTTATTTCTATTAGCATTTTCTTATAATTTTTAAATTTGATTTCTTGTTTTTTTTGTTTTTTTGTTTTTAGTTTTTTGGAGAGATTGATTTTTTATTTTTAATAGTACTTTTAATGTAGTTTCTAAATATGTAAATTTTACATACTAATTCTAAACTTAATATTATGAAAAATTAAATTGTAAATAACTTCAGTCAATCCTTATTAGCCAAACCCGACACAAAAAATGGTACGGAGAGAGTATTAAACACAAAACAAATCAAATTTAAAATTACTAATGAAAATATGCAATGAAAAAAGTGTTGGTTTGACCAATGAATAGTAAAAGTGACAAGCAAAATGGGATAGATTTGAGTATTTATTTGTAAGTTACTATATATATATATATATATATATATATATATATATATAAACCCTTCAATTTGCAATGAAATTTGCTAGATTATTTGTTGCAAAGCCCTTCATGGCGCTTTTTCGCCCCTCACCTTGGGCATTTGTCGGTGATCATAAGGTCATGTGATACAATCCCACAACGGCTCGACAAGAGATTGTGGAGTGGTACTTAAGTTGGGGCCAAACCTCTACACATGAGTTAGCTTTTGTGGTGGAGTTAGGGTCTTGGCTTGGGTACTGTATAATTTGGTATTCTTGTTGAGAGGCCGGAGTGTGGTGGGAAAGGGCTACCTGGAAGAGAGCTACCTGGTGCTTGATAAGGTTCAAAGGGAACCGAGAAGAGTCCAGAGTGAAAGCTATCCAGAGTTAAGCAGTCCACTCATCCGGTGTCGGCCTAGCGAAGGGGGCGACCTAGAAAAGGCTACCTCTGATAAGGTCCGGAGTGAAGCCATCCAAAGGGGAAAAGGGCTACCTGGTGCCGAGAAGAGCCATCTAGAGTAAACCGCTACGAACGTCGGCTTCTCAAGGGGTGGTTAATGATACGATCCCACATTGGCTCCACAAGAGATTGTGGGGTGGTACTTAAGTTAGGGCCGAACCTCCACTCATGAGTTAGCTTCTGTGGTGGAGTTAGGGTCATGGCTTAGTTTGGTTAGCTATAGTGGATCACTTGGGTGAGGTGTAAGCCGCTGCGAACGTCGGCTTCTCAAGGGGTGGGTAATGATACGATCCCACATCTGCTCCACAAGAGATTGTGGAGTGGTACTTAAATTGGGGCGAAACCTCCACTCATGAGTTAGCTTTTGTGGTGGAGTTAGGGTCTTGGCTTAGTTTGGTTGGCTATAGTAGATCACTTGGGTGGGTGGAAGGCTATTCGTTGGCGGGGCTGCTCGAACAAATATGAATGCATTCCCTAATAATCAAAGAACTAATAACATTTTATCCATTATTAATTTGCCTTCACTATCTCTACTTAGAATGTAATATCTGTTCATAAACTACTTTCTCAACCTACTGAGGCTATTCGTTGGCGGGGCTGCTCGAACAAATATGAATGCATTCTCTAATAATTACTGAGGCTATTCGTTGGCGGGGCTGCTCGAACAAATATGAATGCATTCTCTAATAATTAGCTTTTGTGGTGGAGTGGAAGGCTAATCGTTGGCGGGGTTGCTCGAACAAATATGAATGCATTCCCTAATAATCAAAGAACTAATAACATTTTATCCATTATTAATTTGCCTTCACTATCTCTACTAGAATGTAGTATCTGTTCATAAACTACTTTCTCAACCTACTGAGGCTATTCGTTGGCGGGGCTGCTCGAACAAATATGAATGCATTCTCTAATAATTACTGAGGCTATTCGTTGGCGGGGCTGCTCGAACAAATATGAATGCATTCTCTAATAATTAGCTTTTGTGGTGGAGCAGAAGGCTATTCGTTGGCGGGGTTGCTCGAACAAATATGAATGCATTCCCTAATAATCAAAGAACTAATAACATTTTATCCATTATTAATTTGCCTTCACTATCTCTACTAGAATGTAGTATCTGTTCATAAACTACTTTCTCAACCTACTGAGGCTATTCGTTGGCGGGGCTGCTCGAACAAATATGAATGCATTCTCTAATAATTACTGAGGCTATTCGTTGGCGGGGCTGCTCGAACAAATATGAATGCATTCTCTAATAATTAGCTTTTGTGGTGGAGCGGAAGGCTATTCGTTGGCGGGGTTGCTCGAACAAATATGAATGCATTCCCTAATAATCAAAGAACTAATAACATTTTATCCATTATTAATTTGCCTTCACTATCTCTACTAGAATGTAGTATCTGTTCATAAACTACTTTCTCAACCTACTGAGGCTATCCGTTGGCGGGGCTGCTCGAACAAATATGAATGCATTCTCTAATAATTAATGAGGCTATTCGTTGGCGGGGCTGCTCGAACAAATATGAATGCATTCTCTAATAATTAGCTTTTGTGGTGGAGTGGAAGGCTACTCGTTGGCGGGGTTGCTCGAACAAATATGAATGCATTCCCTTTTTTTGAAAGCCAAATATTTTGGTATATTAATGAATGAACATAGTAATAGAGTCAGGTGGGATTACATCCCAGTACATAGGATGTTCCTGGTCGAAAGCTAACGAAGCTAGTGTATGAGAATGCATATTAGCAGTTCTGGAAATATAATGTAAAGAACAATAATTAAATAATGACATAATTGTCCTGCACTGGTCCGCAATGACCCCAACATACGATCGTGTTCTGGTACTTCTTGATTTTATCATGTTACGCAACTCCATGCAATCAGTGAGTAGATCAACCCTCTGTATATCGCGCCCTTTAAGCCACGATAGTGCTTCCTTGCATGCTAGGGCTTCTGCCATAATGGGTGAAAAAGCTCCAGGTAGTGTCCCCGCCGAGGCTGCCATAAAAACACCCTCGTGACTGAGTAACACAACTCCGAACGTTGCTTCCCCCATGTGTTGTCTGTAGCCTGCATCGAAATAGCACCTGAGCCCATACGGTTCGGTTTCCGGCATCACCGTAGCATTCGGCTGTGCCGTCACACGTCTCAGCCTGGTGAAGGCCTCCTCGGTCAGCCCCGCCTTCTTCACTGTAGCCGTAGGCCGTGGCAAGGCTCTCTCCCACAGCGCCGAATTCCTTGCTAGCCATAAGTAGTAGAGGATCCCAACTGCCAGGCGTACTTGCCCCTCCAACAACGAGTCCACCATGCCTATGAACCATGATTGGAAAAAATTAGTTTGAATATTCGTGACAGGTAATCCCGAAATATTCCAAACCATTTTAGAATAATCACATAAAACCAGTACATGCATAATATTCTCCTGTGTATTGCCACACATGGGACATATAGGATCCACGTCCACCCGTTTAACAATTAAATTATCAGTGGTGGGTAGTATGCCAGACACGGCTCTCCATAAAAAGGTTTTCCATTTGGGTGGCACTCTTAATTTCCATAATGTAACCCATTTATCAAAAGCACCTGGGTCATCAGAATAGTCCCCCATAATACGCCTATAGGCATTCTTAACCGTGTATATTCCTTGTGTCTCCCCCTTCCAATACCAAGTGTCACCATAATCTGGGCTTATTGGTATTCTTGAGATTCGGCTCACATCCTCAGGAATAATTAGCTTTTGTGGTGGAGCGGAAGGCTATTCGTTGGCGGGATTGCTCGAACAAATATGAATGCATTCCCTAATAATCAAAGAACTAATAACATTTTATCCATTATTAATTTGCCTTCACTATCTCATATGAATGCATTCCCTAATAATCAAAGAACTAATAACATTTTATCCATTATTAATTTGCCTTCACTATCTCTACTAGAATATAGTATCTGTTCATAAACTACTTTCTCAACCTATTGAAGCATCCATTATTAATTTTCCTTCACTATCTCTACTAGAATATAGTATCTGTTCATAAACTACTTTCTCAACCTATTGAAGCAGGAAAAAACAATGACGTTTACACTGAAACTTGAACCCATAACCTCGCATACAAAAGTCCAACCATAGTGCCATTAAACCATAAGATCTTAGTAGCTAAAAGCTTATTCAAAAGACTTAATTTCGATCATTAGGTATACCTTGTGCGTAACTAGGGATTTCAATTAGGGGGGTGTATTCAATCATGAATTTTGTAGAGTTTTAAAGACTTTTAAAATGATAGATTTTAATAAACTTTGATTGACTTTCATAGAGTCGTTCAAAATTTTTTACCGAATTAAATTTTTTATAACCCTAACCCTAAACCGTCAAGTTATCAGGCTTATGGGGTGAGTTTGTTTAAATTTTTTTACATTTTAAAATTAATATTCTAAATTTTTAATTTTAATAAACTAGCACATTTACACTAATAAATATATACTTATACATCGTTTTGCCAATCCAAACGTTAATTTCTCAATTCTAAGTTCTAACTAAAAATAATTAATATATTTACACTTATAAAATAATAATTATAAGAGTTAATTACTAATTTGATCCCTCGACTATAAGGATTTCTCGTCATCAATTTTTAAAATTACTCAATTTAGTCCCCGACTATGCTTTCTTTTTACCCAAAATGGTCTTAACCGTTAGACGTCCGTTAACTCGTGACCAAATTGGTAATTTCACTACAGTCAATGGACTATTTCAGTAATTAAATTTCGGATAAAATGGTGCATGCGAAATTACCAATTTGGTCCCGAGTTAACGGACGTCTAACGGTTAGGACCATTTCGAGTAAAAGAAACATAATCGGGGTCTAAATTGAGTAAATTTGAAAGTCGAAGACCAGATTGGTGAAATCCTCATAATCTAGGGACCAAATCGGTAACTAACTCATAATTTATTTTGTAATAAATTTATTAATATATTTTCGTTGAAATTTAATAAAAATTAAAAAAAAAAGTTCTTATTTTTCATCATTTATTTTCGTAAAAACAATTGATTTTGTAATACATAGCTAAACATGTGCTGAGCTATAGGGGCTGGGTTGTTAATTTGTATTGGAATATTTGAGATGATTTTTATCAAATGTTAACTTTTTCAATCTTATCGGGATTATTTTTATTTATTTTTTTTTTTTAGAAAAAGATATATATCATTCACGGTGGGACTCAAACCCACATCTCTCGTTCCAGAGGCAAGCGCCTTATCCATTAGGCAACGAGAACATCTTAATTTTATCACGATTGTTCATCATACTACAATTGACATCCCTATGCTTAACAACAAGAGTGGAAACTTTGCCATCTATGTGGTCTCCGAGTCTGGAAAAGTTGGCAAATTACTGTGTGGACCATGGTCCACATAGTACTGTATGAACCATAAAAGAAAGTACATTTTTAATTTAATATACTAAAAATACATTATTTATTAATAAAACTAAAATCTTCAATTAAAATGTCTTTCACCCTTCTGATACGAGATTTCCCTTCAAGTTCAAACGAAAACAATTCACGTTAATGCTCGCATATGCCATGACTATCAACAAAAGTCATGGTCAAACACTAACTCATGTTGAGTTATTACTGAAAAAACCAGTCTTTAATCACGGTTAATTGTATGTGACTTTTTCCCGAGTCATCCATCCTGATGGTCTGATGGTTTTAACTCTAGACGAGGATGGATAAAATTCTGTTACTACTACCAATGTCGTCTACAAAGAGATTTTCAATAATGTATAATTCAAGCCATTGATATTATGTTTTTTTATATACAAAGATGACAAAATTTCTATATATCTACATAGAAAATATATCTTCCGTATAAATAATTTCGATAACTGAGTTGCTAGAGAACGAGCTAATTAGCCCAATTAATAAAAATTCTAAACACCGATATATAAAATCTCTAAAGTTGCAGCACCGAATGCGTATATCTACACGTTAGCTATTAACATGGCTGAGTTGCCATCAACGTGGATGGGAGCTGCAATCTGCGAACCCACAATGCTGGATGTGGTGGTATTTTGAGGAATAGATGGGGAGAGTGGATCGTTGGGTTTTAGAAAGATTTGGGGGACTGCCCAGCTGATATTGTAGAAGCTTTTGCTGTGTTAGCTGGTCTTAGAATTGCTTGGAATATGTCTCTCACCAACAATGTGATTCAAAGTGACTTCGTCAACGTGGTCAACCGGATTAATGAGCATCTTTTTGACGCTAAAGGAGGTGGAACCCTTTGTAATATCATTGGTTCAAGAAGAATTGGAATGCTAGATGTTGCCATATTTTGAGGGAACAAAATCAAGTTGCGCTTGCGAAGGCTTTGCTTTATTTTTGCCCAAATGCCAAGCTAGTTTAGGTGTTCCTTATGTGGTGACTGACATATTTTGTTCCCGGGGTTCCACCCGAGAGTTAATGCCGCCTCCACTAAGGCTCGAACCAACAACTTCGCATATGGGAGTTCGACCTTGGTGTGATTAGACCACAAGGTCTTGGCAATTAGAAGCTTATTCAAAAGACTTAATTTCAATCATTAGGTATACCTTGTGTGTAACTAGGGATTTCAATTAGTTAAGCCCTGTCGATTTCAAGTCAACCATGTCGGGTTTATAAGGAAAATTTTTTACCGAATTAATTTTTTTTTTAACCCTAACCCTAAATCGTCGAGTTATCTGGCTTATCGGGTGAGTTTGTTTAAATTTTTTTACATTTCGAAATTAATATTCTAAATTTTCAATTTTAATTAACTAGCACATTTACACTAATAAATATACACTTATACATCGTTTAGTCAATCCGAACGTTAATTTCTCAATTCTAAGTTCTAATTAAAAATGATTTATATATTTACACTTATAAAATAATAATTATAAGAGTTAATTACTAATTTGGCCCTCGACTATAAGGATTTCATCAATCTGGTCCTCGACTTCCAAAATTACTCAATTTAGTTCCCGATTATGCTTTTTTTTTTTTTTTAACCAGAAATGGTCTTATCCGTTAGATGTCCGTTAACTCGTAACCAAATTGGTAATTTCACTACAGTCAAGAGACTATTTCAGTAATTAACTTTCGGAGAAAATGGTGCCTGTGATGACCGAAATGGTCCATTGACTATAGCGAAATTACCAATTTGGTCCCGAGTTAATGGACGTCTAACGGTTAGGACCATTTCGGGTAAAAAAAAAAAACATAATCAGGGACTAAATTGAGGAATTTTAGAAGTTCGAGAACAGATTGGAGAAATCCTCATAGTCGAGGGACCAAATTGATAATTAACACATAATTATAATAAGTTCTTATTTTTCATCATTTGTTTTGTAAAAATAATTTATTCTGTAATAAATTTATTAATATATTTTTGTTGAAATTTTAATAAAAATTAAATAAAAAAGTTCTTATTTTTCGTCATTTATTTTCGTAAAAATAAAAATTTTTGTAATAAATTTATTAATATATTTTTCTGAAATTTTAATAAAAATTAAATAAAAAAGCTAAAAATGGGCTTAGGTACACAAAGTTTCCTATATATTTTGTATGTGCGTACACTATTTTGCTTAAAGAAGCTTTGCCAAAGATATAACATTGCCCCCATGCAGGATTGATCTACAGGCCTTTAGTTTAAAAGACTGACGCTCTACCATTGAGCTATAGGGGCTGGGTTGTTAAATTTTATTGGAATATTTGAGATGATTTCTATCTTTTGTTAACTTTTTCAATCTTATCAGGAATCTTTTTCTCTTTGAAGGAAAAGATATACATCATTCACAATGGGACTCGAACCCACAATCTCTCACTCCAGAAGCGAGCGCCTTATCCATTAGGCCACACAAACATCTTAATCTTATCAAGATTGTTCATCATACTATGATTGACATCCTTATACTTAACAACAAGAGTGGAAGCTTTGCCATCTATGTGATCTCCGAGTCTGGAAAAGTTGGCAAATTATTGTGTGGACCATGGTCCACATAGTACTGTATGAACCATAAAAGAAAGTACATTTTTAATTTATATAAAAATTAACTAATATCTAATGAATTTTTATCACAAATTAATGTTAATATGTAATTAAAAATGGAAAATGGTTATCAAATTCTGAGAATAATTAAACCATTATAATTGTGAGGATAACGGAAACAAATTATGCGTAATAAATGAGAAAATCCATTTGAAATTATATGTAATTTTATAGGGAAATAATAATTTATTAATTATTATTTACACAAATCTATATCTATACTATTAATAAAAGTAAAATCTTCAATTAAAATGTCTTTCACCCTTCTGATATGAGATTGCCCTTCAAGTTCTAACGAAAACAATTCACGTTGATGCTCGCATATACCATGACTATCAACAAAAGTCATGGTCAAACACTAACCCATGTTGAGTTATTACTGAAAAAATCAGTCTTTAATCACGGTTAATTGTATGTGACTTTTTCCCGAGTCATCCATCCTAATGGTCTGATGATTTTAACTCTAGACGATGATGGATAAAATTCCGTTACTACTACCAATGTCGTCTAAAAAGAGATTTTCAATAATGTATAATTCAAGCCATTGATATTATGTTTTTTTTTTATATACAAAGATGACAAAATTCCTATATATCTACATAGAAAATATATCTTCCGTATAAATAATTTCTATAACTGAGTTGCTAGAGAACGAGCTAATTAGCTCAATTAATACAAATTCTAAACATTGATATATTAAATCTCTAAAGTTGCAGCACCGAATGCGTATATCTACACGTTAGCTATTAAGTATTAACATGGTTGGGTTGCCATCAACGTGGATGGGAGCTGCAATCTGAGATCCCACAATGTAGGATGTGGTGGTATTTTGAGGAATAGCCGAGGAGAGTGAATCGTTGGGTTTTAGCAAGATTTGGGGGACTGCCCAGCTGATGTTGAGATCCCACAATGTAGGATGTGGTGGTATTTTGAGGAATAGCCGGGGAGAGTGGATCGTTGGGTTTTAGCAAGATTTGGTGGACTGCCCAGCTGATGTTGCAGAAGTTTTTGCTGTGTTAGCTGGTCTTAGAATTGCTTGGAATATGTCTCTCGCCAACGTTTTGATTCAAAATGACTTCGTCAACCGGATTAATGGCTATCTTTTTTACGCTAAAGGAGGTGGAACCCATCAAGTTGCGCTTGCGAAGAACCATTCTCCGAACCACATGCCAAGCTAGTTTAGGTGTTCCGATCCTTATGTCCGTGGTGACTGACCTATTTTGTTCCCGGGGTTCCACCCTACCTTTGTATTTAAAAATAGTAAATGCAACTATTATCTCAACCTACTAAAGCACAAAGAGAGTTAATGCCGCCTCCACTAAGGCTCGAACCTACAACTTCGCATATGGGAGTTCGACCTTGGTGTGATTAGACCACAAGGTCTTGGCAATAAGAAGCTTATTCAAAAGACTTAATTTCAATCATTAGGTATATCTTCTGTGTAACTAGGGATTTCAATTAGTTCAGCCCTGTCGATTTCAAGTCAACCATGTCGGGTTTATAAGGGAAATTTTTTACCGAAATATAATTTTTTTAACCCTAACCCAAAATCGTCGAGTTATCTGGCTTATCGGGTGTGTTTCTTTAAATTTCTTTTACATTTTGAAATTAATATTCTAAATTTTCAATTTTAATTAACTAGCAAATTTACACAAATAAATATAAACTTATACATCGTTAAGTCAATCCGAACGTTAATTTCTCAATTCTAAGTTCTAACTAAAAATAATTTATATATTTACACTTATAAAATAATAATTATAAGAGTTAATTACTAATTTGGTCCCTCGACTATAAGGATTTCATCAATCTGGTTCTCGACTTCCAAAATTACTCAATTTAGTCTCCGACTATGCTTTTATTTTTTTAACCAGAAATTTTCTTAACCGTTAGACGTCCGTTAACTCGTGACCAAATTGGTAATTTCACTACAGTCAATGGACTATTTCAGTAATTAAATTTTGGAGAAAATGTTGCATGTGATGACCGAAATGGTCCATTAACTATAGCGAAATTACCAATTTGGTCCCGAGTTAATGGACGTCTAACGGTTAGGAGTTAGGACCATTTCGGGTAAAAAAATAACATGGCCATGGATAAATTGAGGAATTTTAGAAGTCAAAGAACAGATTGGTGAAATCCTCATAGTCGAGGGACGAAATTGATAATTATCTCATAATTATAATAAGTTCTTATTTTTCATCATTTGTTTTCGTAAAAATAATTTATTCTGTAATAAATTTATTAATATATTTTTGTTGAAATTTTAATAAAATTTAAATAAAAAAGTTCTTATTTTATGTCATTTATTTTCGTAAAAATAATTTTTTTTGTAATAAATTTATTAATATATTTTGGTGAAATTTTAATAAAAAATAAATAAAAAAAGCTAAAAATGTGCTTAAGTACACAAATTTTCCTATATATTTTGTATATGCGTACATTATTTTGATTAAACTAAGCACCTGCCCCATGTAGGATTGAACTATAGACCTTCAGTTTACAAGACTGACGCTCTACCACTGAGCTATAGGGGTTAGGTTGTTAATTTTTATTGGAATATTTGAGATGATTTCTATCTTATGTTAACTTTTTTCAATTTTATCAGGATTGTTTTTTTCTTTGAATGAAAATATATATATCATTCACGATAGGACTCGAACCCATAATCTCCAGCTTCAAAGGCGAGCACCTTATTCATTAGGCCAAGCGAACATCTTAATTTTATCAAGATTGTTCATCATACTATGATTGACATCCTTATACTTAACAATAAGAGTGGAAGCTTTGCCATCTATGTGATCTCCGAGTCTGGAAAAGTTGGCAAATTATTGTGTGGACCATGGTCCACATAGTACCGTATGAACCACAAAAGAAAGTACATTTTTAATTTATATGAAAATTAACTAATATCTAATGAATTTTTATCACAAATTAATGTTAATATGTATTTAAAAATGGAAAATGGTTATCAAATTCGGAGAATAATTAAACCATTATAATTGTGAGAATAACGGAAACAAATTCTGCGTAATAAATGAGAAAATCCATTTGAAATTCTATGTAATTTTATAAGAAAATAATAATTTATTAATTATTATTTATACAAATCAATATCTATACTATTAATAAAAGTAAAATCATCAATTAAAATGTCTTTCACCCATCTGATACGAGATTCTCCTTCAAGTTCTAACGAATACAATTCACGTTGATGCTCGCATATTCCATGACTATCAACAAAAGTCATGGTCAAACACTAACCCATGTTGAATTATTACTGAAAAAACCAGTCTTTAATCACGGTTAATTGTATTTGACTTTTTTCCGAGTCATCCATCCTGATGGTCTGATGGTTTTAACTCTAGACGATGATGGATAAAATTCCGTTACTACTACCAATGTCGTCTACAAAGAGATTTTCAATAATGTATAATTCAAGCCATTGCTATTATGTTTTTTTTTTTTTTTTTTTTTTTTCATATACAAAGATGACAAAATTGCTATATATCTACATAAAAAATATATCTTCCGTATAAATAATTTCTATAACTGAGTTGCTAGAGAACGAGCTAATTAGCTCAATTAATACAAATTCTAAACACTGAAATATTAAATCTCTAAAGTTGCAGCACCGAATGCGTATATCTACACGTTAGCTATTAAGTATTAACATGGCTGGGTTGCCATCAACGTGG